TGACATACCATTCCAATTATTTATCATTTCCACTGAAAAGATCATTTTAGTTGACTTCTCCATTATTTGTTGTTGTTGTTAAGTGCCGTCGAGTCGGTGCCGACCCATAGCGACCCTGTACAGGGTTTCCGAGGCTGTAAATCTTTACGGGAGCAGAAAGCCTTTATTTAGGGACAACTAAAATAGCATCTATGGGAGCACAGTGACTCTGTAGGATAAGCACTGAACTGTAAACTACAAGATCGATTCCACAAGCTGCTTCTTGGGAGAAAGATGAGGCTTTCTGCCTCTTCAAAGAGTTACAGCCTTGGAACCCCTACGGGGCAGGTCTACAGTGTCCTACATGGTCATTATGAGTTGGAATCCACTGAAGTTCAACAGGTACCAGATCTATTTTACATACAAAGACTCAAGGTTATTTCCATCCTTAATAGATAATGGTATACTTCTATGTTGTTTGTTAAGTGCCATCCAGTCAGCTTCAACTCCCAGTGACTCTATATTGAGCACAAGAGCCAAAGAAGGGCTCTTAATTCTGAGGAGGCAGATGAGACCTTGCAGTTCAAACCGACCTTGAGGTAAAGTTCTTATCCTATGGTACCTCACCCCATAAAATAGCTATTACTTATTAAACCACAAGGTTGGTGGTTCAAACTCACCAGTTCCTCCTGGAAGCCCTATTACAGGGTCGCTATGAGTCAGAACCAACTTGACAGCACTTAAACAGTGTACCTATTTTATGTCAGGCCTTGTACGAAACAGTTTGTATAATTTTATCCACACAACAACCCTAAAGTAGTATATTAATGATTTTACTCATTTCATAGATAAAGAAATTAAAGCTCAGGGAGAAGAAACTTGTTTAAGGTTACACAGCTAATAAAACTGAGCCCAACGACTCAATGGCACCTAACAAAAACAACACCAACAAACTCACTCTAAATCTGTTTCATTGATTTTCATTCCTTCTGAGAAAAAGACAGCTAGCATTTCTTGGTTTTAATTTGAGGCTATCAGTCATAGATTAACTGGAAAGTGCACTTTTATGGTAATTAAAAAATCTATGCACGTATGATTTATGTACTTTTCTCTGTGTATGTTAACTTCAATAAAAAGGTTTTAAAGGGGAGAAATAAATGAAAATTAATCCAAGTGACCATTATATAATCTATATTGTGACATGCTGGCTGTAATTAGACTGACAATAAGTCTTCTCTGAGGTACTCACTTTAGACCAAGATGTACGTAGATTTTATTTCTTGTCAAAATAGTGAAATGAAATTTCTTCCTATTTCAACACAAATAGAACTTATTGCTGAGATTTGTGGCACTACACGTTAATACGTTGGACTGCAAGGTCAGTTTGGACCACAAGGTGGGCAGGTCAAGCTCATCAGCGCTTCTCGAAGCCTTATATAGGGTCGCTATGAGTCGGAACCGACTCAACAGCACTTAACAACAACAACAACATTCAATCACCATAGTTATGTGTAAAGACAAAGTGATATTTTCACTCAACCTTTTGGAAGATCTTACAATATTAAACTAGTTCACTATCAAATGGTAATGATGTAGATCTTTTTCACTTTCTAACAGATTTATAGTTATATTACAAGAATGTCTTTCTTCTCTTGTAAACAGGTTGCGTGAAGAAAAAATGAAAGAAAAACAAAAACACCAGGAAGAACGGCTGAAAGCAGCTCTGGAGAGAGCAGTAGCACAACCAAAGAAAAAGGTTTGTGCTTTGCTGTTCATGGGTCCAGCTATGTCAGAGTGCATGGTGCTTCGTGGAGTAAAACCGAAATGCCTAACACAGCTACTTGCCCAGGCTGACCTTCAGTACAATAACCTTTCTTGCTCACAGCTTCAGTTGGGCCCTCTGGCTCATTTAAAATGAGTCAAATGGTGGTCTACTTTCTCTGTGAGCCCCACTTTTGAGTAAGAAGCCCTTTTCCACTTATTTTGGGTCAAGGTCTGAAATATGAAGGGACTTCAAAAAGTTGTTGGAAAAAATCCATTATATTCTCATTCCATTTTCCACAAACTTTGTGAAACCTCCTCACATGTTCCAGGAAGACAGCCTCATGGGTGATCTGCAAAGCCAGTGTAGACAATGGCGCCAATCATAGTAGTAACCACCACTCAGTGAGTGTTAGTTTACGGTGTTCTCACAACCAGCCAACCTACTGAGGTAAGTACAATAAAACCTGGGACGATTAGAACCCATATAAGGCAGAAACCTCTCTGAGAAAGACAGCTCAAGTATTTTCTATTACTAGAGAATGACAGAAAAGTGGTAACACTATACCATGTAAAAGGTGGGAAACTTGCCAAGGCCCCAGAAAAACAAGGTAGTCCCCTTGAGTTCCAGCTCTCATAGGCTGTGCTGTAAAAACTTGGAAAAGTTTTGAAGCACCAAAATCAAACTAAACCACTGCCATCAAGTCGATTCCAACTCATATGTACCATGTCCAGAAATGAATCTGTCCATCTATAAGTCAAATGATTTTCAACAAGGGTACTAAGCTCATCCAATAGGGAATGAATCATTTCTTTAATCAATGGTGCTAGGGCACGGAACAAACGGATCTTCATTTACAAAAGAATGAAGTTGGACACATCTCACACCAGCTTAAAACGGATCAAAGACCTAAATAAGAACTAATACCATAAAACTTTAAGAATAAAACATAGAAGCAATACTTCAGGACACAGTTTCAGATGAAAGATTCATGGCATTGATACCAAAAGTATCAGCAACAAAAGACAAAACTGATGAATTGGACTTGAACACAATTGAAAACTTTTGTGCATCAAAGGACTTTATCAAAAAAATGATGAGACAAAATACAGATTGGGAAAAAATGTTTGGTAACCATATAACTGTTACTGTTAAGTGCTGTCGAGTCGGTTCAGACCCATAGCTACTCTGTATAGGGTTTTCAAGGAGTGGCCGGTGAGCTTGAACCACTGACTTTGAAGTTCAAAATGACCGTGCAGTCCAGTGCATTAACCCATAGCACATCAAGACTCCAACCATATAACTTGTTGTTGTTGTTGTCAGGTGCCATCGAGTCGGAACCGACTCATAGCGACCCCATGCACAGCAGAACGAAACAATGCTCGATCCTGGGCCAACCTCACCACCGCTGCCACCCCCGAGTCCATCAATGATGCCACCTGGCCGATCCATCTCGTTGGAGGTCTTCCTCTCTTTCTCTGACCCTCTACCCTACCAGCATGACATCCTTCTCCAACGATTGTTTCCTCCTGACTACATGTCCAAAGTAGGAGAGACATAGCTTAGCCATCCTGGCCTCCAAGGAGCACTCTGGCTGCACTTCTTCCAAAACAGATCTATTGGTTCTTTTGACCATATAACTAGTAAGGGTTTAATATCCAGAATATATAAAGAATCCCTACATTTCAATATAAAAAGACAACTCAATCAAAGCATGGGCAAAGGACTTGAATAGACATTACACTAAAGATATACAAATGACAAACCAATACATGAAAAGATACTCAACAGCATTAGTCATCAGACACATATAAAAACCACAATAAAACCTTACTTAACATCCAATAGTCCTTGGTTGCCAAAAATGGTTAAGCACTGGACTGCTAACTAAAAAACTGGCAGATTAAAACCCACCTAGAGGTACCACTGGTATGTCAGTTTGTCCTACTGTGGTGGCTTGAGTGTTGTTGTGATACTGGAAGCGATGCCATAGGTATTTTAAATACCAGCAGGGATGTCCATAGTGGATAGGTTTCAGCTGAGCTTCCAGACGAAGACAAACTCAGAAGGATAGGTGGTCTACTTGCAAATGTTTAGACACTGAAAACTATATGAAAAGCAGTGAAACACTATCAGCACCAGAATATTGAATACTGAAACACTATGAAGAGCATCAGAATATTGTCAGATATAGAGCTGGAGGATGAGCCCCTCAGATAGGGAGGCACCCAAAACATGACTAGGGAAGAACTGCCACCTCAAAATAGTTGACTGGGATGATGCAAATGGAGTAAAACCTTGAGGACCTTCACTTGCTGATGGACCAAAATTCAAAACGAGGAGAAACAGCTGCAACATCCATTAATAACTGAAATGTATTAATAATTACTGGTGATTGGAAACAAAGAAGAATCAGTAGTTGAAAAATATGACCTTGATGATGGAAATGATGCTGGAAATCACATGATAGAATTTTTCAAGACTAATGACTTATTAATTACAAATACTTTTTTAAACAACATAAAAAACAGTTGTACACAAGGACTTCACCAGATGGAATACACAGGAATCAAACTGACTACATGTGTGGAAAGAGATAGTAGAAAAGCTTGATATCATCAGTGAAAAAAAGGCCAAGGGAAGACAGTAGAAGAGACCATCAACTGCTAATATGCAAATTGAAGCTGAAGCTGAAGAAAATTCAAACAAGTCTACAAGAGCCAAAATATGACCTTGGACATACCCCAACTGAATTTAGAGATCATCTCAAGAACAGAATTGATGCAGTAGACAATAGTGACAGAACAGAGGAGTTGTGGTATGACATCAAGAACATCATACAGGAAAAAAGCAAAAGGTCATTAAGACGACAAGGAAGGAAAGGCCAAAATGGATGTCAGGCAAGACTGAAACTTGCTCTCCAGCACAGAGATGCTAAAGCAAATGGAAGAAATCAGGAGGTACAATAGCTGAACAGAACATTTCAAAGTGCAGATGGAGAAGAAAAAGTCAACTATTATAATGAAATGTACCAAGATCTAGAGTTAGAAAGTCAAAAAGGAGAACACACTCAGCATTCTCAACTTGAAAGAACTGAGGAAAATAATCACAACTTGACTTGCAATACTGAAGGATTCTTTCCGCAAAATATTGAATGATGGAGAAAGCATCAAAAGAAGATGGAAGGAGAGAACAAATAAGATGGCAGATAGGGTGGAAGTGCAGTAAGGAGCTCTGTCAACAACTACACAGAATACTGGACCAAGCAGGCTCAGGGGATCGTGCCAGAACTCAGACCACATATAAAGGAATATTTAGAAGGTTAGAGGGCTTACAGCTAGGGGAATTTCTAGCAGAAACAAGAAATCTATTGCTTTCTAATTCAAGACGCTCAGCTGCTCTCAGAGCCACCATTGTGGAAGAGACCAAGTGGGAGAATGATCACAGCAGCCACAGATGCCTGACAGAACCACAGAGATAAAGGTGTGGACATTCTTTTTTTTTTTTTTTTGTATCTGTTCACTGGTCTCTCGCTGTCTGTGCACCTCCATTCTGGTGACTAGGGGTGATGCCTGAGTGATTGGACACCCCACCCGCAACCCTGGAGTGTTCAACGACACATGTGCACATATGTCCTAGAAATTTAAAGTGACAGTTTCCACTTAAAACCAAATGACAGTGCAAAATGACCACAGCTGACCCTAAACTTTTTTATAACTAGAAAAAAAGACCTGAATGGGGATTGTGGAGTGGGGCAGGAAGACTAAAAAGGAAATAGGGCAAAAATTAAATCCTGAGTTATGTCACAACAATGAAACGTGGCATCTTGAAATTTCTCAGGAAGAAGACTGAAAAGGGAACCCCATTTCCTGATCAAATCTACCTGGAGGCAATCAGAAAGCATAAAAAATACCAAAATACACACCCATCCAATTTTAAGGTCACAGATAACTCCTGAATATGCCCCAAAAACAGAAACAGATGACCATATCAGCACATGTCCAGAAACGAGATAAAGTGACTGAGGCAAATGAGCTGGAAGTAGACCTGCACTCCATATTGGAATATGGGCAGGCTTTGGAAATGCCTGAGAAGGAATTCAGAAAAATGACTATAAAATTTATCAAAACACTATACCATGGAGTTGAGAAAAATAAGGAAGAAGTCAGGAAAGCACTACAGGTACAATCAAATAAGATAAATACAGCATTGGAAATAATTCAAAACCTACACAAAGAGGTCCAAATGATTAATAATAGAATATCAGAAATGGACAATACACTGAAAGGGTGATAGAGATAGAAGTGAAGAGATAGAAGCCAGAACTAGTGAGCAAGAAGATAAAGATCTCAACACTACTAAGAAGAGCAAAGACAAAAAAGGACAAAAGAATCTGAAGAAGGCCTAAGATTCATGTTGGACAACATGAAGAGGAATAACTTAAGAATTATCAGCATTTCAGAACATTTAGAATCACACAAGTCCACAGAAGCGACAGTTGAATAACCTCTGGAAGAAATTTTCCTAACATCCTGAAAAGCAAAAAGATAAGCATTTAAGAAGCTTAAGGAACCCCAGGAAGGACAGACCATAAAAGAAAATCACCAAGACATATAATAATCAAGCTCTCCAAAATCAAAGACAAGGACAGAATCCTGAAAGCAGCTAGGGAAAAGAGAAGTGTAACATACAAAGTCAAGCAAATCAGATTAAGCTCGGATCTTTCAACAGAATCCACGCAGGCAAGAAGGCAATGGGGAAACATATATAAGATCCTGAAAGAAAAAAATTGCAACCACGAATCTTCTACCCAGCAGAGCTATTACTCAAATACAATGGTGTAATCAAAACATTCCAGGATAAGCAGAAGCTAAAGGATTTTGCCAAAGCCAACCCTGCTATGAAAAACATCCCAAAGGAAGTTCTGTGGACTGAGAACCAACAAGAACAGGCAACTACAGAATGACATACGTAGCAGCACCACCCTGAACTCA